GTTATTCTGTTATTCTATTATTCTCTTCCCTTGTTCTGTTATTCTCTGCTATTATTCTCTTCCCTTGTTCTGTTATTCTGTTATTCTCTTGTTCTGTTATTCTCTTGTTCTGTTCCCTTGTTCTGTTATTCTCTTCCCTTATTGTGTTGTTCCGTGACCCCGTTGTTATTCTCTTATTCTCTTTCCTTGATCTGTCATCCGGTCGTCATTCCGTCCTCCCTCGCCTCCTCTTGACCACAGCCTTTCCCTCAATCTTCCTCCCCGTCGCAGGGCTGATTCTACTCCTGCTAGTGTGGGCATCCTTCGACCCGGCTCTCCAGACACCGGCCCAACCCGTCTGCGACCAAAGCGTCATGAACAAGTTCATCCAAGATGCCGGCAAGTTGGAGAGGGACATTGTAAGTCCCGGGGAGGGGAGGGGAGGGGAATTCCCACCCCTGGTTTTAACCCACCCCTCAAACACTTTCAACCCCGTCGCTAAAAGTCCTGGGACTGGCACGGGGGGCGGGGAAGGGAAGGGCTGATCCAGGCCAGGACGGTTGGGTGCCGATCCCATCCGGCTTCTACCGGACTCTGCAGGAGATGCCCCCACCGAGCCTGAAAGAGGGGGAGAAGCAGGGGTGGACTTCCAAAATTTCACCAAATTTCTGCCCGGTTGCTAGCTGGGCGTGGCCATGGGAGGGGGCATTTTCACTCTCCCCGGGCTCCTGAGGCCAGAAATAGGCCCGTTTCCGGCCTCGGGAGTCCGGGGAGGCTCGTTTTTTTTCAACCTCCCTGAGCCTCCATGTGGGCCTGGACTTCCCTGGCATCCCAAACGGGACACGTGGAAACTCCCGAGACAGCGTGGTGGGGTGGGGGGTTGCGGGGGGGGCGATTTACCGCTTGGCCAAACCAGTCGTTGTTTTATTTTATTTTTTAAATGATAAAATTAGCCACCGGTTCGCTCGAACCAGGGCGAACCGCGAACAGCTCCCACGGGGGGTGGAGATACCTCCAAACTTTGCAGAGATTGCAAGCCGTTGGATCGTACAATCCTGGAGCTGGGTGGCACCTCGGAGGTCTTCTAGTCCAACCCCAAACCACCCAACCCCCGGCCCCTTTTCTCCCCCCCCCCCCCCCACAGGTGGACCTTTGCAAAGATGCCTGCGCCTTACCTGAACATGTGACGGTGTCGGATACCCGGGTGAATTTTCCCGACTGGCGAGCGATGGAGGTAAGTCGGCTCGGGGCAAGGCCGTGCAGGAGGGAGCCCCACGGCTAGGAAACCCCACAGTCCTCCTCCTCCTGACCACTCCCTCTAGCACTGATGATGTAACATAGTCGGGCCGTGAAACGTCGGCGAGAAAACCACCCAGCTCAGAGAGCACCAAGGACCTCACAGTCCTTTTTCTCCTTTTCTTCCTCCTCCTCTTCCTCCTCCTCCCCCTTCTTTCTGCCCCAGAGGTCCAGGCAGGCCTCGGAAGTGTGGCGGAGCCAGGCGCTCCTCTCCGTTGCCGTTGGCCGAGTCAAAAGCCACCAGCCTCGCATGCAGCCTTTTCTCCGTCAGCTGGAGGTGATGGAGAGCGGCCTGAGGAGCGTCCGTGAGATTCTGCGCAGGCACAACGCCCAGGTGAGGACCCGCCAGGGCAGGAGGGGCGCCCTTTGCACAGGCTCAGAGGCGAAGGAGTTTTGCCCAGGGGCTGTTCTGACCCCAGACTTTGTCCCAAGGAAACCAGCACCAACCGGAAGGGAACAGCAAAACCTTTTAAACGCTTCTTCCGCCAATTCCGTTCCTTCCCGGTTAAAAGCCGGTTTCAAACTCAGGGTTTCGGAGAACGAGGAGCCTTGCCCAAGGTGGTGGCGAGGCTGCCAAGAACCCTAGATAAAGTGGCCAAGAAAGATTTCAAAAGACAAAAACCCTCCGAACACCAAGCAAGATTTTTTCCGAGTCTTCCACAAGGCTTGAAGGGCGAGAACGTCTTTGCTTCCTGCAAAGAACTCCGGTCTCTCAGGCTGACTTTTATCCCTTACGGGATAAAATTCCCAAGTCTTCCACAAGGCTTGAAGGGCATAGAATTTCCTTGCTTCCTGCAAAGAACTCTGGTCTCTCAGGCTGACTTTTATCCCTTATGGGATAAAACTCCCAAGTGTTCCACAAGGCTTGAAGGGCAAAAACTTCTTTGCTTCCTGCAAAGAACTCCGGTCTCTCAGGCTGACTTTTATCCCTTACGGGAATAAAACTCCCGAGTCTTCCACAAGGCTTGAAGGGCGAGAACTTCTTTGCTTCCTGCAAAGAACTCCGGTCTCTCAGGCTGACTTTTATCCCTTACAGGATAAAACTCCCAAGTCTTCCACAAGGCTCGAAGGGCATAGAACTTCCTTGCTTCCTGCAAAGAACTCCGGTCTCCCAGGCTGACTTTTATCCCTTATGGGATAAAACTCCCGAGTCTTCTACAAGGCTCGAAGGGCATAGAACTTCCTTGCTTCCTGCAAAGAACTTCGGTCTCTCAGGCTGGCTTTTATC